CGACACAGACCCACTCACCCAACGTAGCACGAGTCCTGGTCCGGATTAGCGACAGACTCGCCGTTGAGGACAACAATGTTATACTTTAGTACTTGATATGCATACTTCAAAGAAATAATAAAGTTAAAGCTTAAAATTTGTTAGGTGATTATTAAACATAATATGTTATCTATAACTTGTATTGTATAAGTAAGATACTGTAGAATTAAATTTGCCTAAAAATTGTAAAGTTCAAAAACAGTTTGTAATTGAACAAAGTTATGTTGGTCAAGTTAAAATTGTTTTAGAAGTTAGAACCCTTCTTTATTGAATGTTTTGTAAAATGTAATATAGGTCCAAATAGAAAGTCATTATGTAATTTAAAATCACATGTTTAATTTACTTTATAAAAATGGGATTTTTATCAATAAATGAAAGTAATAGTTATGTAAATTCTACTCCCAGTTGATAACAGACTTAACATTAGCCTGTCACACTTCTTAGAAAATTTGAACTTGAAATTACAAGGTATAAATATAAAAGTTCTATCCACTGTACTAAAGATCCATAGATTTTTTCAAAGTTTTGATAAATTATAATATTAAAAAAATATATATAATATATATAATTTTCTTTAAGCATTTTTTTTAAAAAAAAATTTCACATAAATTTATGACATTTATAATTATGCAACTCATTGTACTATTACCTTTTATCCTTTATCCAATAACTATAAATTATCGAATTTTTTTAAAATTATATATTGTGATGGTCGATCGGTGAGTCTGTCGCTAAAGTGGGGCAGAGTGTCGCGTAACCGTCGATGTGGTAAGGGATTATATAAAATTTAAGGCATGTTTGATTTGGCTGAGTAAAAAGATAATTCACTGCCCTTTATTTACTTTTACTTTCATCTTTTTATACATTTTAGTTGGAACGGTTTTTACATTCTGAAAAATATGGTGACATCGACTATCTAATGTTTCCTAGTGATTCTCCCTAATTACATAATGCTCGATCATAATGATTTTATATTACTTAATCGTTTTCACGATCCTCCCCTCATTACCTAACTTTCTAACATGCTATTCTACTATTATCTTAACCATTTCCCATCACTTTCGCTTACACTTTCCATCACAACACCTCAAGTACCATGATAGGAACGAGTCCTTCGCGGCACCATCTCGACGATTAGTCATGTGACTGGCGTCGCGTTTCGATTTTTACCCTCTGACAATATATATTTTTTTAAATAAATTTTAATCGAATGCATCTAATAAATTGGAATACTTGATATTTTGAAACATGATTTTCTTTAAACAACGTTAAAAAAAATTTTTTTTTTTCTTTTGCACCAACTCAAACAGTAATATATAAAGTTTACCGTTCTATCATTGATCCGCCGTATATAGTCCTTAATAAATTTGTTTATTGAAAGCTGTATTTTTTTATTATGCTTCAGGTAATCTTGATTCCTGTAGATGTAAGACAAAGATCACGTACAAGTAAAGCATAACAAATATAATAATATGTATGCGTCTAAAAATATTTAAATGAAATCTGTAAAAGGTCTATTTATATTCAAAGAAAGGCTATATATATTCAATGATTCCATGAGAATAAAAATTTAATGTGAAGTAGAAATAAGTAAAAGATAATGTTTCCGCAGCTTTCTTTATAATATAATATGATGAAAGCATTTTAAAAAAGAAACTTGATAAACATAAATAATGTACGACTTCTATCAAATGGTATAATAATAATATTAATTACTCTCTAATAACATGTGAGTATAACTGAATATTTCTATATACCAAATATTGTATTTGTACTATATTAAATTTAAACAAAGTTGTATTGCTAGAATTACTGCTACCAACGTTATACTTCCCTTAACAATATTTCCAGTGTTACTTCCTTGACTATTTCCAGAGTTACTTCCTTGACTATTTCCAGTATTACCCCCAAGACTATTGTTTTGACATTGGGAACCCTTCATACAAGAATATCCGTTCGGGCAACACCCTGAATAATCCGCGCACAAATAGAAATCACTAGGGCAATAGGAACCACAAAACCCTCCACCGGTGCAAAGGGAGCCACTTGGGCAGCACCATATTCCGTCAGAACAAGCAAAGTATCCAATATCGCAACCCGATGTATTTGCACGCGCGGAAATTTTTGATCCAAGATCAGAGGAAATGTTATCAAATTGTTTTTTTTTTTGAGTTATCGTATCATCAGCAAAAGAGAAATTGCCGAAGACTAAGATGGAAAGTACAAATATTA